CATCCTACCTGTGTGAGGTGTGGAGTTTCTGCAGCAACGGCGACTAAAACAAAATTACGAAGTAGACTCGAGATAAACCACACACTTGAGGTGTCATTACCCCGAGATGGGACTGTCTGATTGCAGAAAATCAAGCTCGGGGGTGTGGTGAGTCGTCATTTTCATGCACTTTGAATTTGCGTTGTATCGTATTTTGAAGGCATTAAACATTACCAGAGCGATAAGAGTGTTGCGGCCAGATTAGACGCTCCTTGTGTTTATTATTATATTTCGAAAACACCACAGTTTTCATGCAGCTCATACCATATTATTTTGTTGTATTAATCCGCCACACCTTAAATGCCGGTCCCTGAAAATATTGTCTGACTTAAACCGGTCCGTGGGGCAAAAAAGGTTGGGGACCCCTGCTCTAGATGAGCAGCCCCGACCTTTTTCTGTTGCACGGACCAATTTTGATGTTGTCATTTTAACAGATCAGCATAAAAACAGATGATGAAAAACACAACTCAGCATTACAATGAAAGAAGTTGTTACTAGTGCAAACTCCAAAAGTTCCCCCCCAAGTGGAATCGCTCCTCACAGTGGTAGGTGGGGGAAAGAAAAAGTCCGATATAATCCAGAAAAGAATAAACGCCATAAGAGCCAACTCACCATGTGTCTTTGTTCAACTCAATAAATAGTTTTGTTGGGGATCTACTGAATATTCTGCTCTCGGTTAATGAAATTGATTAGTTTGAAGCGCTGGGGAGTTGAGCCTTTATGGCCACATTTTGTATTTTGTAACTGCATCCACACTTCAAATGCAGTATGTTATGTTACACTGTCCCGAGATGCTTGACCTACAGCCTCTGAAACGCGTAAGAGGGAACATGCTAAAGGCGCTCGAAGGATTTGCTCAAGGCCACGTTTGACAGGGAACGTCCACATTTTAGGGTTGCGCCCCCTATAATGCATTTCTGGCAATAAGGTGCGTAACTGATCGACTTTAGTTAATGGGAGCAGCCAAAAAAGGCTTTTTCCCTATCAAGCAGAGGGGAGAATATGGCTCTATTAGAGTTTGTTGCATATTGATTTATAGCAATATGGTTTGAATTGATATTTTAATAGTTTACATTCAGTAAATATAAAATTTATTGTTGTTGCTCATTCTTGAGATCGTGGGACATAGCAGCCTATCAACCAATCCATCTGTTTGTTTTTTTTTTTTTTTTTTTTCCAATGAGTCTTTATGGCTGGAGTTATGTATTTTTTTTAACTTTCTACGGTCAATAACTTCGACAAGTGTGGTTTGACTGTTGAGAAGATTGTTGAATAAAATTTTGCTTCTGTATTTTAATTGAGGTTTCATGTGTTGATTTTTGTATGTGTGTGGTTTTTTTTTAAATCTTTTGGCACAGCTATCTTATATTTTCCGCATTAATTCAACTCCCAGCTTTGTGTTATTTCATTGGAAAACTGGGTAAATATGTGTGCTTACTGACTTTTTGTCCAAGGTGCGGATTGCGCTGCAGATGGAAGATGGCTCTCGTCTCCAGGGTGCCTTTTCGTGTGAGAAGAGTCTTTGGGAACTCCTGACACATTTTCCTCAGATCAGGTGCGTGTCGGGCTAGATTAATGGTGCGCCTCCTGCCTTTGAAAGATCAAGTATGATTTTTTTTTTCACCTCTAGTCCTCAACTCTGTTTCAAACAGTTTAAGCTCAGTTTGTTTAGTAGCACATAGAGGTCACACAAAACATTTCAAACCCTGTGCCGTGGCACACTGGTGTACCGCGGCACAGGGTTTGAAAAACACTGCATTAAACCACATGAAAGTAAGACACTTGAATTATCCCTGCTTTAATTATGTCTCTTTTCCACAGGGTGTCGGAGCTGTCAGAATCTGGGTCCACTCCTGTGTGTGTTTACATGAGAGATGAGGTGCGAATTGAATATTTACCTGTCAAGAAAGCAAAAATATTTAGTGTGACACCCAGCTGTTAGAGGATGTGTGTGTGTGCGTGTGTGTGCGTGTGTGTGCGCGTGTGCGTGTGTGTGTGTGTGTGTGTGTGTGTGTGTGTGTGTGTGTGTGTGTGTGTGCGCGCGCGCGCGTGTGCGTGCGTGCGTCTAGGTGTGTGGGGAAGAGGCCCTCAAGAAGGCCACTCTCAAGTCATTAGGCCTTACGGGAGGAAGTGCCATTGTCAGGTAAACCGCCTTTTGATGTTTACCTGTAATTTCCTCTCGATCAAATCCCAGTTTGTAAGTAAGCCATTTCATTGCGTTGTCTTTATGGTTTTCTCTTGCTAGGTTTTTACTGAAAAGGGACAGAGTACCAGAAGATTGCATGGACACAACTGAAGTCGTCATTGTGCCAGTCCCCCCTGCTGTCACTGAAACCCAAAGCTCAGCCTGCCAGCTTGACCCTATTCCTTCTCATTCTGAAACTTCAATATCACAAGAGATGGCCAAAAACTCTAACCCTGCTCAGTTAATCGAAACGGTCACGGTGCGCACTCCTGTTTCTTCCACTCGTACCCTTCGTGTCCAACAGGAAAAAATCAGGGATACAAATCAACCAAAGGCTCCTCTTGAAGTAAGACAAATGTTAGAAGACTGTGGTGAGGAGGCAGGGCCTTCAGGAGTCAACTCCCACTCATCATCATCATCATCATCATCATGTACTTCTGGTCCCGTGGTGCCATTCATTCCTTTTACTGGAGGGGGTCAGCGCCTTGGTGGTCCTAACGGAAGTGCATTTGGACACGTGCTTTCCTCATCTTTATCGTCTTCATCGCTGTCAGCGTCTGCCGTAGAATCACCCAAAGCCAAGAAAGCCAAGCCTTCCCATCATTCTGCCACCAAGGTATGTGGTGTCGTGTGAGGGTTTCCTGTTTATTTTTATTGTACATGCAGTGGTACCATGATTCACAAGTGCTTTAAATATCCAACATTTTCAAGTTGCGAGCTGTCGCCTTTTTTTTTTTTTTTTTTGTAAACTTATAAATGTCGCGGATACACTTTCAGCCATTTATTGTATGGTCCGAACCATCAAACACACCGATCTAAAATGAAAGCACTTGCAAGTAGCATGGAGGAGATGCTAAGGGCCTGCTCGCAATGCACTTAACAGCGTGTAGTGCCATCAGAATGCCGTGTCGAGGCGCAGTAAACGGCTCATTTGATGAAACAGCGCGATGCCTCCAATTAATTCAACAATGTTCAATTTGAGAGTGGTGTCATTGTGATGTCAGAAAGCACCGCCAATAGGGAAGGGGCTGTCAGAGTCTCCCTGTTTACTTCTTGGTAGACTGCTTTGTCAGCACTTCTAAATATGGGCAAGGATGCACCAGGGCACCGTTGTCCTTTTACGCTGCCCTGCGGATCTTTCTCGCTGAGCAATTAATTTTGTCTCAAATCAACAACATTTTCTAATTAGAAATTCTTCCTCTGCAGCATCAAGCCACTGCCAAAAAGTCAGATGGGATTATGGATGGAGCAGAAAAGTTCTTGGCGGTAAATACTTGCAATCTTAAAATGAAAGTTGCCGAGAACTTGTCAGGTCTTCATTTTGGCTTTCACACTCTTACCACTGCAGCCTGTCGAGAGAGAGCCTCTCATCTACCACCTTGAGCGTGTGTGCCATCGCTCTGAAGATGACGTGGAGTTGCCAGATGAGTTTTTTGAAGTGACTGTGGATGATGTTCGCAAGCGTTTTGCTCAGCTAAAGAGCGAGAGGTTAGTGGATGAAAATGAACATCGTGAAACAGGATATCAATCTTACAATAAAGTATACAATTTGTTATCACAGGGTACATTATTTATGCACCAATAGTCTCTCACCTCTTGACGAAAGGTGAAACATCATGTTGGACTTGAATTTCGGATATGACTTTGATTGGTGTTGCATCCTACAACAGAAATCAACACGCTCTCTGTTGAAATGTTTTAGTCAGAGCAGTGTGCAAATCTTGACTAGCCAACAACACAACCGTGAAGGTATATTTTCCATCCATCCATTTTCCAATCCGCTTTATCCTCACAAGCGATAGCGGTGTGTGCTGGAGCCTATCCAAGCTGTCTTCAGAGTGTTCAATCAGAATTTCATATTTTACTTTTGCTATATTTCTCTTAATGGATTTTAGTGACAATGACAAATCTCAGGAAAATTCTGTGCTTCATCATTCAAAGCCAGGCTTGCAAATTCAGTGAATTTGGTTTTGGTGCACTCATTCCATAGTTTACGCTGTGTGTGTGTGTTTGTGTGTCTGAAAGTTCAGGCATAATTAAAAAAAAAAAAAAAAAAGAAGAAACAAACTTGCACGTAAATGGGAGAATACAGCCCCCCCCCCACCCCTCCCCGTGCACAAAAAGTAAAATGAATCATTTTATGACAATACAGTCTAGTATTATTATTTCATAATACAATATGTCATGATTGTAAACTTTAACTTGTGCTGTTCATGTCTTCCGGTAATTCTTTGTGACCGTTTGTTCTCGAGACATGCCAGAAACAGACCATTCTAGCGGTTAGTTCTACTGTGTATTTGCTAAGATGTCTGACCTTTTTAATTACCGGTACTAATAATAATGAGAGACCCTAAGCAGCTGAAACGCGTGCCATTTATTTCTGAGTGTTTACTCTTAATGTGTGCCCCCCAGCCGCTGAGACATGATGTGGAGTGTGGAAGCCTCATTTAAAAGACAATGCGCACACACAAAAGCTTCTAAATTTAACCTTCAGGTTAGCAAACCTGCTTTATGTTTCCTTTGAGTGAATTGTGTTTATCCAACAACCAAACATTTCAGGCCTCATACATCCTTTGTCTGCCTGCCTGATTATTTGTTACTACTTTGGAAATGACCGCAATTACCAAAGGTGATGTTAAACAGACCAGAGGCATTCATCTCAACCGCTGACACACTTTCACACATTGTCTTTCTCTATTGCTCTGCTCCCTCTGAGCAAAGTTAGAGTTCACCTTCTTTTCGCTCATCAGATAATAGCGGCATTGCTGTTTGTCCTTTTTCTTCAGGGAGTTGTTGGAGGAGACACCGCTGATGACTAGATCTCTTAGAGAAACACAGATGAAGGAGAAGATAGACAAATACCCCAAAGTATGTACACATGATACACGCTCGTTCCTGTTTTGAGACACGTGCCATTGTAATGTACCCAACATATGCCCACTCGGCCTGTTTTCTTCAGGTTGTGCTAAGGATCCAGTTTCCAGATCGACATGTTCTACAGGGCTTCTTCAGGCCCCTCGAGACAGGTTTGTGTTCGGCCCGACCTACCTTGACGTGTCTCTCACTCACTCACTCACTCACTCACTCACTCACTCACTCACTCACTTACTCACTCACTCACTCACTCACTCACACACACCAGCATTTCCTCCCCTGTCATAGATTCAGTGGAGTAGGCACTGGCATTGGTCCTGTTAAGATCATGTCCGACTACAGTCGAGCCAAAGCTTACATGCACACAAACATACACGGGCATGCTTGCACACATTTGCGTCGAGAGTTTACCTTCAACCTTTTCCATCAAACTTGTAACAAAAGGATATTGTTTAACATAATATCCACAGTCACAGTTTAATGAAATAAAATTCAAACAGAGTGAGCAATTCTTCACCAATGCTTAATACATGAGAAGAGGACCCCGGGGAAAAAAGATCGCCACAGTGGCAGAATGCAAGACTTCCCTTTTGTGCAGACAACCTGTTCAAAGAAAGAAAAAAAAATACCGCATTCGCAATATTGAGGGACAAAAAAAAAAAAAAAATCCCACTTAAAATATTTTCTCAAATCATTCAGCTCTGGTCTAAAACATAATTCTACTCCACATGTGATGCTCATGCGCACACATGCTCTGATTCTGATTTGTTTTATGTTTTTGTTCTAGTTGGGGCTTTAACGGATTTTGTAAGGAGCCATTTGGAGGATCCGCTGCTCAGTTTCTACCTCTGTAAGTGCCATGAAGTCAGATGGTGTCTTCACACTCACATCCCTCATGTTACAGGAATTGGAGCAGATAACTTTCATATGAATTAATCCTTCAGTTTCCTTTATCTTAGTGTCCTATCTTCTATAATAGTTTTTATGTTGTTTATTTTAATGAAGACAAATTAATCTGTGTTTCTTAAAAATCAATCAATAAATCGCAATTTTGAGGGGGGAATAAAAATCGAGTTAGGTTACATTTCATAATTCTTCAACCCGCCTCACAACCAAAGCAGAAAATAATTTAAATAAAACTTGTTTCCAAATCTTCGTTTATGGTAGTACTATAAGAACGATATACTGTACAGTGGACTCCACCGGGAGATTCACATACACGGAGTTAAAAATAAATCAGTGGAATGGGAAAGGAAAAAACAGTTTAGCATTTGTTATGGGGTCTTTTTTTCTCCCCCATTTCACAGTTGCACAGAAAATGCATATTGAGTGTTTATCTTTTTTTTTTTTAAATCCGTTTTTTTTCCTCTCCCTCAAATGCATTTCAGTGGGTGTAAGCTACACATGTCCTGTCCTCTAGCACAATTGTCAAAATGGTACTGTTGTCAGCAGACAGGTTTATGTTTGGTTTACCTTGATAGCGTCTTCCCATGTCTGTAAAATCATAACTTATACAGCCGACACAACAGAAACTACTGCAATTAACATGACATCAAACAACATTTGAACTGTTTTTTGGCAGTTGATTTTTCCTTTTACATTTTTCATCATGTTTGATGGCTTTTTTTCCACTGCATTCAAATTGAGATTTTGAAAAAAATGATAGTTTGAAAAGCAGACCTGCTATTTTAATTTGCACTTAAATCAGTATCAGTCACATCATGCAAATTCTGGCTGACCAAATAAAAATATTAATAAATATTAAATCAAGTGTAAGCATTTACAGACCAGCGTATGTTTGAGCAACTTCCAACAACTCAAGTTGATTTCCATTTTTTTCAGTTATCACACCCCCCAAAAAAATTCTGGATGATCCTGCTGTCACACTTTTTCAGGTAAGAGGCACCACTCAAGGAGCACAACCATTCAATTGAAGGATTGTATTCAAGCAATCTGCCTCAGACACACTCTGAAAACAACAACAACAAAAAACTGGACTTTCACTATCAGTGCACACATGCTGGATGACTCTTTATCTTCAAAGGTGCTCTACGTTCATTCTCTGGTTCTCCTCCAACCTGTGCTCATATTTGTTTCCCTCTCCACTGTCCTTGACCCCTGCTGGATTTGATTTTAGCCAGGCTGGCACATAGGCTTAATACAAGCTTCACTTTGATCCACGCACACACACGCACACAACATGGCAACCATCTTGTAAATTGATGTAAATTGATGTATTGCATCTTTTTGTGTTGCCACCAGGCTGACCTGTTTCCGGGTGCCCTGGTATACCTCGGCTCTGACGTGAAGACAGGTTTCGATTGGTTTTATTTCCTTTTTGTGTTCATTTGAAGTATAAACTCAATTCCAATAAAATTGGGACATTGCATTCAACAGAATTTTAAGTATCTTGTCTCTGTAGTGCATCCATCTAAATATTGGTGAAACATGATTTGCAAACCATTCTGTTTTTATTGATGTTTAACACAACGCGCCGACTTCATTGGAATTGGGTTTGTAGGTCCCAATGTGGCTTTTTCTTTATCATTTGTCTATTTGTGTCAACAGAATTGTACTTAAAGAGGAAACTCCTCGAATCTTCTGTGTCTGCTTTGCAAGCAAACGAATCCATTGCAAGGTACGACGCGACATCTGTTACGTTTATTCAGTGAATCCACTAATGGAATGTCTGAGTTTGGCAATTAGTATTTTTTTTCCTGTTTGAAGAGGAGATATAAGGCCAACATCTGACAGTTGGCAATGGAAACTCATTAGAGTTAAACTGCAAGAATACGAAACTTAGCATAGCTTGAGACACTCCCGTTTGCAACACGTCGCCAAGCAGAGACCAAGTGTTGGTGACATGAATTATTGTGGAACAGTGTGTACAAGAAATCCAAAGAAACGCACGTCCGTGGTTCCAGTGGGTCGTGGGCTCGCTCGCACAATGTAACAGTCCTTGGTTGAAGCAGCATACTACCGGCGCACTCGCGGCAACCCGAAATGCGCTCTCTGTGGGTTGGTGACCTACATTGTCATTGGTAATATAAGATAGATAAGAAAACCTTTATTTGTATGCATATGTATATATGTATAAAAGAACAAAAAGTATATCACTGAAGAGTAAAGTAGTTCTGTCGCGTTGTCGGCCACTCCAACACACTTGATTCAAATGATCGGCTTATAGATTAGTTTGCAAAAGCCTGATAATGATCCTGGTCATTTGACAATGCCGCATCCACGCGTAGGTTGTGGCTTCGGCATGTGTGACAATGATTACACGGCATCATGTGTGCTTGACTTGCATTCCAGTCTTTTTTTGGGGGGAAGGGGGTCACATTTTCTTTCCCACGCTCAGCCATAAGTGACAAATAAACTTTCGCTTTCTTCATAGGAGAAGAGGAAAATACAAAATGCAAATACAGCTCGGGTTTGAATTTTTTTTTTTTCGGCACTGCATACATTCGCTGTGTGCTGAGAGGGTGAAAGCAGTGCCCAAATGCTCATTTGCAAAGCTTAAGAGGAAACATGGTTACATCGCTTACATTTTTGTAAATATTTTGATCGTTTCATGGGACAAGACCGACCCAATGAAACACACAATGTACAGCTTCAACTTTAGTGTCCTGTCAAAATATCGCAACATGCCACACAAACTTTGTGCCCAGTTTGACAATTTCACTTAGGGTTGCATTCACTAACTTTGCCAGTGGTTTAAACAATGACATGACCGTGTGGGGCAGCACATTTAAACTGTGAGCCAAGCTGTACAATGGTTACTTTACATCGTTGCCATTTCTGTGTTGTCCCAGAAAAATATATGTCCAAAAACAGAGGGCTGTACAAGATTTTTTTTTCTTCTATTTTTGCCTCAGAATACTAAAGGACAACATTCTTTAGACTTGACTTAACTTCTTACTTGTCCCTCGTCTGTAACCCACCTCCGACATCCCAGCTGCATGTTCCAGTCAGCAAAGCATTCGCCCAGCTCTTTGGACACTCAAGAACTCCTGCCTCCTCCAGAGCCAACTGCAGACACCGGCGCATCCACGCAGGACGATGAAAAGCAGCAGTCAACAAACACACAGGCTGCTAAGCCTAGCAGATCGGACGTTGGCAAGGTGCCCAAGTGGCTCAAGCTTCCAGGTGAGAATGAAACTTTAACAGAGGGGAGACACACACACACACACACACACACACACACACACACACACACACACACACACACACACACACACAAATTGTTTGATCCCAGACATGCAGAGTTGCTGACGAGATGTTCTCCACCGTTGGTAGTGCATAACTTGTGCAAGCAGCTGCGGAAACACTTCATAGGCCATTGACACAAGTTTACAGGTCTATGTAATCACTTTTTTTTAGCTAATGTGTGTTCATCTTAAACGTTTGGTATTGTGCGAGCATCACCAGACACCTTGCTTGTAGTTAATGACATAATCTTTTGTCATGGAGAGATAATTTTGCATAGAGCAAAAATGAAGTAGGCATGGTGGGGAAATAATGAATGCAATTAGGTTATTTTACATTTGCTCACCCGCACTGTGGTTTTATTGTTCTTGTTCCTGTTTGTAAAGTGTCCTTGAGTGTTTTGAAAGGCGCTTATAAATAAAATGTATTATTATTATTCTCTTAATTTTTTGTGCAATACAAGATTTGTGTGTGTTGAGAAGCGTCACCGGGGGGCGCCAAAGATTGGTCTCGCTCAGACTATTCAAACCAAAAGCGAAGATGTTGTTAATTTGGATTGTCTGTACTCCTTACAGGTAAGAAATAAGGCTGTGTTTGAGGGTGAGAAGTGCAACCAAGCCAGATGTTGGACACTAGCTGCCTTACACAGCCAATATAAGCACTTCGACCTCAGCTTTGAGTGCCGCACACTAAATTCCACTTGGGATGATGCCTGTCACTTTAAACTGTGTGAGGTAATGTGTTGGAGTGAAGAATTCATATTTGATGAAAAAACCGATTTGATTTCATCATGGTTGATGTGTGTGACGAAAAAGTGCTGAATGTGTTTTATTCAAGACAGCTGAAGAATAGTTAAATAATAAATGATGCAGTTTGAACAATATGTGATTGTGTCTTGAATAGATTTTTTTTTTAATGAGACTACATTTAATGGAACTTGATTTGCATACTGATCATTGTTCTGTTTTCTCACACACTGCCATTCAGCATAGGCATACATTTTAATTTACCGGCATGACAATTGTTTCTTTTTTCAATATTTTATTCATGATTTTGTAGCCTTCCAAAACAAAAGCAAATACTGTCTGTATAAACATGACAATCGTTTTTACTATTAGAATGCAAGGTCGGGTGGTGGGCCATGTCCCGGTTTTAAAAAGCAATGCCACCCAAGTGGATAATCATTTGATTTTTGGATATCTGAAAAAGAAACATCTTAAATCTTTTTTCAGGGAAATGCAATATCAATTTTAATCTTCTTTTTAGGAAATGAGCAATGCAGACAAGTGCAACTCAATTCATCATAGCGCAAACTGTTCCATTTCTGCCCCCTGGTGGTCTGAAGGATTACCTGTGGTTGCAATTTTATACTCTCGTTGATTGTTATAAATAATTGATAGGATTCGCATTGCCTTTTACCTTCTTCTTGCTGAGTGGAAAGTTGCTAGTACCATTTTCTGTCGTTTTAACAAGAAACTTCTGGGGGCGACACAAGCGGATTGCAGACCTCGCAGTCAAGACGACAGAATCGTCAAAGGTTAAAAGTGGAAGCACTGCTTTCCATCCAAATGAAGATAATGACTCAGACTGAGCTCTGATTGCTCACATGGTTCGAAACGTTACCAAACAATTTCCCCTGGTTTACCGCCACGTATTGATCATGTCCTCAAAGCTATTTAGAAAAATAAAACAGGCCCTTTCATGTTGTTTGCCTGTTTGAAAATTTGACGCCAGTAATCGCAACCTTTTGTTGCAATTTTGTCATAGAAAAAAAATAGACGTGCCATACAGTATATCGTACACTTAAAAAATGGTCATGTAAAAAGTAGCATTCAGCAGTGAAATCAACAAATTTTGTATCTTATCAGCAGATATCTTATACTGCATGTATTTAAATCAGAAGGGGAGCGATGACTTCAGAGTCCTGGATTTTGAATTCACAAGCCAGAAACAGCTCAATTGTGCAGGAATCCTTGAAACATTAATGAGGCCCGTGCTTCAGTTTGAACAGGGATGTCGAACTCATTTTTATCACAGGCCACATCGTTATGCTTTCACTCAGATGGCCATTAGGAGGGTGCAACGGCGTATTATTACATATATCCACAATATCCCCATGCACCTGATTGCAAATTCCATTTGAAATCTGAAGTTACTGAAAATGCAGACAAACAAATATTGAATTAAGTATGCAACTACTCTTGGGGCATTGAATGAATTGCAACAGGACTGTCCTGGTTGTCTTACAAGATGTTTAGCTTCTCGTCTAAGCAGGCTTTACCAGTTCATGCAACAAGGGTTGGTTAGGACTGTTGGGAATGAAATGAACTGGATGAATGAATGAGAATATTCACAGGTGCATATAAGATAAATTACAATTTCGGGACTGTTTTTTTTTTTTGGGGCAAAATGTGAACGATTTGGAAAGAAACATGAAGGAGACGCAGTCTTTGTTTTTAGTGGGCCAGATTAAATTATATGACGAGCTGGATCTGGGTCTGGAGTCTTGAGTTTCACATTTGTATGACAGAGCTCATGCGTGACAAAAGATAAATGGGCTTTAAAAAAAAACATTCACAAAGGAATGAAAGTACAGAATCAAACATGTGCTTACTTGTAAACTATCAGTGAGAAATTAATCAGTGATCAATTGTTTAATTTGTGATATTCTTACAGGGTTCGTTCATGTGACATTTGATAGGCTCCCCAATGTGTCTCCATGGCCGGCAGCGCTACGTACACGCCCCTCACACTCATTAAGCCGTGACCCGTCCCAACCCGAAATAACTTCCATTCTGGACTGACTGAGCCCCAGCATACCGTCCACACTGCACCCGCTGTTGGAAGGCAGCAAGTGTGTGAGGACGACGAAGAAGATGGGTGTTAGCATTTGAGAGCAGTACAATACAGTCACATTTTGCTCTTGAGGATTTTATTTTGGATTGAAATAATCAACAGGGCTGTCATCACCTGGAAGAACTTTTTACTACAAGGGGCCGGCGAGGGCCTGACTACTGTACAAGGACGTGTGATCTCTCAGCCAATTGCAGACATTTTTCATTCTCCACGCACTGGTCACAAGGCCTCAAGAAGCGTGGAGAAGTCAGCAGAGAAAACTGGGCACGACCCGTCACGACGACAATGCCCGCTGGGAGATTTCTCTTCATAAAGAGCCAGACACCAAGGACGGAAAAGGTTTCAACATTTGCTTCAGACTAAATTTGTATTCACTTCCACCGCCCAGTGATGGATTCACAAAGCGGCCCATACCTGAACATGCGGGCGCTCCTCTCACCTCTGGGCGCTGCCCGCCTTTGCCAGCTGGCAATGGGTTGTGCCGCGATCGCCATGGTGATCCACGCCGCGGGGTACAGCGGTTCCCACGGCGTGTTCTGCATGGCCGTGTGGTGCTTCTGCTTTGCCATGTCAGTGGTGGTCTTCTTCTTGGATGCCACGCGTCTCTACAGCTGTCTGCCGGTTTCCTGGGACAATCTCACCGTCACGTGTGCAGCCTTTGCCACGCTCGTGTAAGTCACTTCAACACTGCAATACTTGAAAACATGGCCATCGGGCCAAACAGACTTTATTTATCTAACTCAAGCAACATATTTCGATACATCTTTCTACTGTAGCTCTAATTGATGTGCACAAAAGTCCTTCTCAAATATATAAAACACTTTTAAAAGCTGAAAATAAATAGTGCTGACAAATGTTATGAATTGTCAAATACTGTATTTTTTAAAATACTGGGCAAACCGGTTTTCTACCTTTATTTAATAGTTAATGACTACTGTTGGGCACAAGTAATAACAAAACGAATGAACTCCACTGCGCTTGTCTTTCAAGAGGAATTGAAATAACTGTATGTTTGTGTGCCAGAAACATCCCAGTCCAATTTATTCTGTTTATTTTATAATATGTTGTCAACGACTGCCTGAAACCCAAAAAGGCGATTCCCAAGTCAGAACTGTTGATTGCAGTTAGTAAATTTGAAGTTCGTTAAAAAATATATATATGTATACTGTATCAACATCAGTATTTGCTTGGGGCCAAAGAATATGTTATGGCTCTCAAAAAATGTATTTGGCTTTGGCTTTAGGGAAAGAAGCTGCTCGAGGCAAAATGTTGACTTTTTGCAGATCAGTTGCCAGCAGGAGTTATCAGAAACAATTTCTGATGAAAAAAGTCGCGGCCTGGTGGTTCAGTGGTTAGCGCGTCGACGTCACAGTGCAGAGGTTGTGGGTCTGGCTTTGGCCTTCCTGTATGGAGTTTGCATGTTCTCCCTGGGCCTGCGTGGGTTTCCTCCGGTTTCCTCCCACATTCCAAAAAATGCATGGCAGGCTGATTGAACACTCTAAATTGTCCCTCGGTGTGAGTGTGAGCGCGGATGGTTGTTCGTCTCTGTGTGCCCTGTGATTGGCTGGCAACCGTGAACCGGTGTCCCCCGCCTACTGCCTGAAGACAGCTGGGATAGGCTCCAGCACCCCCTGCGACCCTTGTGAGGATAAAGCGTATCAGATTATGGATGGATGGATGGATGAAAAAAGTCACTTGTTTAACACAAACATCTACGTGGAATGTGGGAGGAAGCCGGAGTATCTGGGTAAAAGCCACCAAAGCACGGGTAAAACACGAAAATTTCACACAGGAAGACTGCACAAGTTTAAAACCCTGAGCTATGAGGGAGTTTTGCTAACCACTCACACACTGTTCTGCCCCAATGCAAATTCATCCTTCCATCGATCCATTTTCTAACCCACTTCTCCTTACAAGGGTGGCGGGCGTGCTGGAGCCTATCCCAGCTGTCTTCGGGCAGTAGGCGCGAGACACCCTGTATTGTTAGCATAGTAACCAAACTGCCCACATCAGTTTTTAACTCATTGTTACAAAATCAATTTAAAAAAATACAAAGGTAGTTGCAAAAAAATATTTTCACTGTCAGTGTAGTTTTAGTTAGTTGACATTTTAATCATTCATGGTTGAATCGATGCAGCTGAACTCCAGTTGTACGGCAATTATGTGGTTAGGTTGGCGAAAAAGGAAAGCTCTATAATGAATCAAACCTTTAGTAGTAGTTATAGTGATTAGAACTTCAGGAGTAGAATTTTGGATTTGGGCCCTCGACCTACTTTTTCGTACCAAAAAAAATATATATACAGGTATGCAAAGCAGGCCCTGAATGACCCACATAAAACCCACTTTTTAAAGTGCTTTGCATCTGCTGTCATTCTCTTGCGTACACGGTTCTCCAAATAAAAGGGTGCTTCTTGCTGTGTATACATGATTCCCAGTTGAGTTTATTGTAAAAGTAGTACATAAAACAAAAATGACGTATTTCCACATCAACATGTTCAGTCAGCCAAGTCATATGATTGTGCTTTATGCCAACGTACTCTGCGCAGTACTGTAATGTAGCGCACATCCGCTATACAGCACATCTATATCCCCTCATGTGTTTACTTGCAGGTATGTGACAGCGTCGGTGGTCTACCCCCTCTTCTTCGTCCGGTCCGAGTGTCCTTACGCCGGCTGTGACGTCCGCAATTTTCGCATCGCGGTCACTGTCTGCTCCATCCTCGGGACTCTGGCCTACGGGGCCGAGGTGGCCCTGTGCCGAGCCAGACCGGGTCAAGCCGTGGCGGGTTACATGGCAACGGTCTCCGGCCTCCTCAAAGTGGTCCAAGGCTTTGTGGCCTGCGTCATCTTTGGCGCCCTGGCTAACGGGAGCCAGTATTACCTCTACGCCGCCACGATCTATTGCGTGGTCGTCTACGCTTTCTGCTTTACTCTGACTGCGTTGGTGGTCATCATGTCGGTGTGCGGGCGCACCAAGACGGTGCGCTGCATGCCCTTTGATCGCTTCGTGGTGGTGTGCACCCTGCTGGAGGTGCTGCTCTACCTGAGCGCATCAGTGGTGTGGCCCGTGTTCTGCTTCGACACCAAATACGGTTCACCCTGGCGACCGTCCTCATGTCCTCAAGGGAAATGCCCATGGGACAGCAAAGTGGTGGTGGCCGTTTTCTCCTTTGTCAACTTGGCGCTCTATGTGGCCGACCTCGTCTACTCGCAGAGGATACGATTTGTCTCTTCACATTTGGCCAACGCCCCACGTCGGCCGTAACACTCGGGGAGTCGGGAGGTGGTACGGAACATTTTGAATTAATTTTTTAAAAATCTTTTTGCAGAATGGTTTGTTGTTAAAAAACATTTTTACTGTACAACTATGGTCATTTACAGAAAAAGCAAACATTTGAAAAGGCAACTCAAAATTTTTGGAACTATTACCGTTATTCGGGGTTGTCACCAAGGAGTTTGGCCCTTCAAATGGCGCACATTAAAACATCTCTTTTTTAGGTCCCCTGTCTGTCATGGGCACTTAAAATTGTCATCATCAAGCTCAGATCTAAAGCAGAGGTCCCCAACCACCGGTACAGCAGAATTACACTGTTTGAAATGAATGAAAAAAAAAATCTATGTTAATAAAATGTTAAAATAATTGTCTTTGTTGTCAGTACCAGTGCTTTAAAACTGGCTCCTTAAAAGCAATGAAAAAAGAAAAGGATTACCGGTCCACGAGCAGCATGTACTTGTCTCAACTGGTCCGTGTCAATGACACAAAATCGGTTGGGGTCCACTGCTCTAAAGGGCACTAAAGTATTCCCCAACTCCCGAGGAACCTCCAAAGCAGGAACATATACCTTGCGTCACATCATGAACCAACTTCTCGGACAATGACAAGTGTCCAAAAGACTTTCAGTTTGATAGGCCAAGAATCGGTCAGCACGCATCTGCATGGTGTTTCATTACATCAAGTGACATTTACCAAATTCTGGCCTGGCAGGTATATCACAAGGATCATTTTGATAAGACTGAGTATGAAACTTTTCAAAATGCGGAAAAGAAAAATCTTCTGTTTTTCACAAGATTGTTGTCAAGTTCAGTATGGATGCTCTCCAGAATGTGAACTTGGAATGTAATCAACACATGTGCTTGACCACACCCCCAAAAAAGTGGCCGCTTGGCCCTTTGTACTGACCCCTCCTGCCCTCTGAGGGGATTAGGCTGACTAGACAGCCTCACCCAAGCGTCCAGTTGGTATGTGCCACATGCGTCACATCAGTTTTGAATGGGGCACTCATGTGGCCTAACACTTACTTTACTTTTGCATCCCTTGCAAAATAATGCATACAAGTGTGGAATATAAATAGGAGATCTGCCAGTGGCATCCGTGGTATGGCTGTATTCTGAAAAGCTAACGCCAGGTGATAGGAATGATGTTACCGAAAATAAACACACATGGCTTTCTGCAGTTGTGAAGTATCCATCCATCCATTTTCCGATCCGCTTATCCTCACAAGGGTTACGGGGCGTGCTGGTGCCTATCCCAGCTGTCTTCAAGCAGTAGGCGGGGGACACCCTGAACCGTTTGCCAGTCAATCGCAGGGCACACCTAGACGAACAAACATCCACGCTCACACTCACACCTACAAACTATTTAGAGTGTTCCATTAACCTGCCACGCATGTTTTTGGAATGTGGGAGGAAACCGGAGTACCTGGAGAAAACCCACTTAGGCCCGGGGAGAACACGCAAACTCCACACAGGAAGGCCAGAGCCGGAATCGAACCCTGCACCTCGGCACTGTGAGGCCGACACGCTAACCAGTCGACCACCGGGCCACCTACTTGTGAAGCAGTTAGGCAAAAGAAAAAAAAAAAGCTGCTATATTTGACCTTGACCCATAAAACGGCGGAGTTTAAACACACAGCATTCATGATTGCACAATTTCAATATAGTGAATGTGACACAAATGTTTGCACAGGTTTCGAAAGTACATATAACCTTGCAGGCACAACAAAAGCACCATGTGATGAACCGGTTGAATTATTCTGTTGAGAGGTTGTGTGGTTGGGATTCACATCAAATGTTTCATCTCCAATTGAGCAGGATCGGCACACACAGTTGTGGTGATAGGTTTACATACATTCAATGCTGTGCATGTCATATTTTGGACTTTCAGCAATTCATTTCAACCTTTTTTTTCCAGTCCAATGGTAAAGCACATCTTCAATGAATTGAGTGCACAAGTTTGAATTCATTTTGTTTTTATTTTATTTATTTATTTTTTGTCTAATTCACACAGAGACAAAATTACCAGTATGCACGCGGGGGGGGAAAAATGAATACCCTCCCACTAATAATTGATTAATATTCAACCACCTAGTCTGAGCAGAGGGTTTAGAGTTCATTTAAATTGATTGGTTCCCTTGCACAAATCTGACCTTTCCGCATAATCCACACACTGTGTGATCAATAGGGTTGAGGTCAGGTCTTTGAGAAGGCTATGCCAGAAAATGAAAGTTAGTCTCGTCTGCTTTATCCGTTCCAAAACGAGTTCGAATGTGTGTTTGGGATCACCGTCCGATTGGACCCAGTTGTATCCAATTGTATGTGAAGAATTTGGAGGTAGTCCTCCTTCCGCATTATTCCATCCACTTTGTGCAATGGACCAAATACCACTTGCAGCAAAAAATGTGAGTCAGTTATTACATTATTACTCTTACCTTTAAAGCCTCCTCCCAACATATTGTCACTGTGACCAAGTAGCTCATTCTTCTCAATCTCATCATCTGAGCATAAGGGTACTGCATGCCCATGATGAATGTAAAGTTCTCCCCCCCCCCGCCCCCCCCGTATCCCAGTGCTGTCTCAGGGCCAACTGGCTGCTTCGTCTATCGAAATCTAATTCTGATTTGAGAAAGCTCCCTCGTGTGTTGTGCGCTTATGAAAAGCACCATTGTTTTGTCAACTACAAACACAAATAGTGTGCATATGATTCAGGGAGTATTGCAAAAATAATCATTGTATTCATTTATTTATTTTTTCCAATTCCGAGGATTTAATTGGCATATCTAAACATTTCGAGCTTGAAGGCGTGCCACTTCCAAAATTGACTTTCTTATGATTAATCCCACAGGGATATTTCCCATTAGAAGCAACTCTTGCATCACTGGTGCATCCATTCGGACTGACTGAATTAAGAAATGGAGCATCAGCGTAATCCAAAGAGACACCTCCCAATAAAAAAAAAAAAAAAAAAAAAAAAAAAAAAAAAAAAGCAGGAACATTGGACACATTGGCTTTGAAAGCAAAACAATGACTCGTTGCCTCATTCTAAATAAGGGCCTATTTATTTATTTCATTGTCAGGTAACTGCAGTTACTGCCGGCACTTTTCAATGCAATATTCTCACAAGCACTAAAATATCAAGTGCACGAAGAACTCTATTATGTGGATAATTGTATTCCCTATATTGTCCACAATAATTGGACAACAAGATAAGATTCACATTCCTTATCCCCAACTGCTCTCCCTGACAATGTAACTATGCAAATTCTACCTTTGTTCCCATACTTTGATATAGGAATCCATTCATTTACAATCAATACATATTACTATAAAATACATTGTTTTCCTACACCTTGCAGTGTGTTACTTTTCATCACGTATCATCTTATTCCCCCCAAAAAACTTCAAGGGTCCTATTTTCTTAAGTAGGCACATGCGCACTCGATGTAAAAACTGTCATCTTTATTCATCATCCTAGGGGAAGTCTAGTTTACCGTGTTTGGGAATTTGCCAGAACGTGCTACGTCTCACTGGGCCTTCCCGTGGACTGCGGGTGTTTTCTATTACACGTACCTGGTGCACATGACAATTTGGTGACAAAGTAGACTAGACTTTAGACTTGCTGAAAGCAGGTCGAGGTTGTGATGCAGGTAGTGTAATGTGATTTTGATGGATTTGATCAAGGCGCAGGCAGAAATATTTTGAGCGACACCAATGTGTGTGGTGGATGCCAAGTGTATTTCATTCATAAATATGACAACAGTGCATCGAACCCTCTGAATCATTTAGAAATCAATTCAAACTATTATTATTATTATTATTATTATTAGAATTGTTGTTATTATCATCACCTTTAATGTATTTTTAAAAGCACCCGTATTGTGGCATAACTGGTGTGCGTGTGCGTGTGTGTCATTCAATCGAACATTGACACACAATCGGGATTTGAAACGTTTGAAGTGTGTTAGAAGTGCCCATCCACAGCAGCCAACTTTACAACATGCCCAAGTGGAAATCTTGCCCTTCCTTCTAAACTTGCTTTGCACACGCCGATCTCCTGCACAGATTCCAGCGAGTCTTAGACCATGTGCCTCTCTCCTGTGCTGAATTCAAAGGCAATGAGGGGAGCCGCTTCGGTTATCTGTGTTCAAGTTGTCTGTGTTTAGTCCCACAATGATACAAAAGACCATTTCTACAAGTACCTGCGACCAGTTACACAAATGGTTGAAGAATTATGCATGAACTCTGGAACATTCCATTTCAAAGGCCTCTCCTCAGATATCATGAAGCTTCTTCTTAGCACATTGATATTTTAATTGGATCTGCGGACTCATATTCTAAAGTGTGGCCGCACAGGTTGCATTTGCATCACTAATCCCACTTTATACCAAACTGGGCTTTTTCTTAACCCGTTGATATGGCAATAACACCGATCAAAGGGAAGTTTCAAGCCTGAATGGCCTGAAAACAAAAATTGCTTAATTACAAATAGAAATGAAGTCGGCCAGGCGAAGCCTCTCATAATGATGGTAATGAAATAAAAAGTAAAGTTAACCTGAAAATACTTTTTTAATTTTCATACTTGCTATGTGCAAACTTTTCCCCCCCGATTTCATTTGGGTCTCTCGATGTAACTGCTTAAGGGCAAAAATATGAATTCAGGAATTTGAGTAATCAGCCCATGCTAATAATGCAAGTCGACTGTCTGGGTGCTAACCCACTTACAGCCACTGTTATCAAGCTGCTTTTCTGTTAAAAAAAAATGTAGTCAAAACAAGACAAAGACATCATCCAAATTTTCTCCAGAGCCACATAAAACGGTGATTCAACCGTTCACATGATGAGTCGCACCCAGCATGACAAATAACACATTTCATGTCTAAAATTGAGTGTGACTGTGTAAAGTGAAAAAGAATTTGGCTATTACCTATTCTTCACGTGCTCTTAGTTCTTGCAGTGTCTATTATAAAGCACTTTCTCCCATGCATTTTAATCAGTGTCATCAAAATCAAACAACGATGCCTGAAGATTTTTACCAAAAAGTTGTCCATTACATGTGGGCAAAAATGTATTAAGATGGAAAGGATCGTAACAGCTGGTGCTTTTGGGAGGCCAGCCCCCGGGTGTGCTCCCTGCTTTATATAGATGTGAGCAGTAACCAATCCTTCCGCCTGCATTCCAATCCGGCAGCACGGTGTCAAAATAGATGTGAAAGTCGGTCACGCAGAGGAGACTTCACTGCACACAAAAGAAAGGACCTGTCTCATTCAAATATGCGCTGTTGCAAATGAAACATCAAAGAGACTGTTATTGGGGAAAACCCCCCCAACTAATTTCACCACTTGAGGACTGGATTAGCCTGAATTAAAAAATAAATAGACAACCATGCAGTCATATCTGCAGACAATTTTAAGTCTTGAATTAACCCAACATGCATGTTTTTGGAATATTGTGGAGAAACTGAAGCGCCAGGAGGAAACTCACGCAGGCTCAAGTATAGCGCTAACATGCAAACTCCACACAGGAAAGCCGATGATGAGATTTAAACACAGAACCTCTCATCAGTGGGACATACTAACCCACGAGGCCACTGTGCTCTGTGATAATTTCTATGTTAACCTCCTGACTACCAGTTGTTCAAATTTGTCCTCTGTAGAGGACATTTGTGAACCTAAATATCTCCCACCCAGTGCCTCCAATCGCATTAACTCATTTTGTTACTCTAAAGAGGACATTCAGTGCTTTCCAATGATACCAAATTTGTAGGGGTTAGAAAAAGTAAGAAAATGGCTTCCCTCAGTGCAAGCACTTTTTATGTGAAGAGGAAAAGTAATACTTTTTATCGACCACATTTTGTCTTGAAATGCTGTTGGCATTTTAATTATAAGACTCTTATGAACACGTTAAAGTGTTGTTTAAAAAATGTAGTGGGATTTCAAAAATTTCTTTTGGAGGAGTCCAATTACTTCACATAGATTGGGGAATGTCAAAATAAATGTGATTGGACAACATTTTTTTTCCTGGTAGTCAGGAGGATATGATTGATCCGTTATGCCATAAACAACCTTAACATGGATTGGTAAACATGCCGACTGAGACTTCCTTGGATACATGCAAGAACTCCAGTGACTCTGAAGAGGGTCTATGGGGGCTGGGGGTGAGGAGGTTCATTGCTTTGGACTGATGGACACAAGCCTTGGGTCCCAAGGCAATAGGCTCTCATGTGGTCAGCATGAGATAAAAAAAAACCCAAAAAACAATAATCATTCCTGGCTGAGAAATAAACCCGCATTCACTGTTACTGAGTTCTTGGAAAGCTGCTTGAGCCTTTATTTGACTTCCTTGGTAAATGTCCATGTACAAGTGCACTCTTTGTCCTCACTAGTAGGACAATTCGGCGCATTAGTAGAGCGACTGTCTTTATTGGTAGAGCTCAGACCCGTACCCCAAATTTTCATTTGTCATTTGTGTTAACATCAGTGAAGGAAGTACAAATGGGTCTTGCTCTCTTCCCATTGAACACGCACATGGTCCAACCCTCCCCCCCCCCAAAAAAAAACAAGAATCATTTTATCAAAATAGTAAATGGGAGTGCACTTATACAGCGTTTTATCTCCATCATACGTTTACACAGCCATATTTACTTATCTCATTCAAACGTATCAGAGTGTAGCCAACCGGGGCATTGATGTAGCATATCAAATCACGGAAAGATTTTCGTTATTAGTTGAGAATTTACTTTAATCTCCAGGATATGGTGCCACACTTTCGTCAACGGCAGACCCCTTTGATCCTATTTTACGGCATGAGAGGCCAACAATGAGGCATTGATACATTTTCTAGCTGGGCTTTACAGACTGACTTCTAACAGTTGAAAATGATGTTCATTATCCGGCCAAATATTCCCATACACACGCAACTACTTCCGGTCATCCGCTCCAATGTAGCAGGTTCATAGCTTTCATGCATGGGAACTCCCCATATAGATATGTCACATGTACGGGAGAACCATCCAAACATTCCTCTCTGACAACATCCCACCTTCCAAAAATATGCATGGTAATCTTAATTGAACACTAAATTGCCCCTACGTGTGACTGAGTCTGAATGCTTGTTTTTCTATGTGTACCCCGCCTACTGTCCAGCACGCCCGTGATCCTCGTGAAGAAGAGCGGATCAGATAATGGATGGATGTTGCCGGTTTGGCCTACTAGTACACAATTAAACCTAAACAAACCAACTATGGTGCTGCACTAGTAGGGCCCAATAGTAGGCATGTGTCACCCAGTAGTGGCTTCCTACTCTTACTTGTGGGACCATAATGGCTTCTTCTCATTTTACCAAAATTTTCATACCAGTATACAGAAATATCATACAGTGGTGGAAAGCAGTGGGAAAGAAACATTGTTCGTTCAATGAACTGTTTTATGAGGATCTTGAGTAGGGCATCGAATAAATGCTCAAATGGGAAAGGTGCCTGTAGAAAAGTCAGGTGAATGAACCGTTACAAAGAAAGTGACTTCAACCACAATCCAGTGAGATTTTTTTTTTTTTAAACAAATTTGCTATGACTTTTTCTGTCTGGACTTGACTCTGTTAGTAAATGACATACGGTGTGCCATGAACAGTTTATAGCTTGCAATTACACAACAATTGTGCTTTTAGGTCACGACAATTGTGGTTTTAGGTCACGCGAGCACAAGATGGAACATTTCAGAACAGGTATGGGTGTGGATTTTTAGTTTGAGCAATGGACTAGGCACAAATGAAGGAAGGTACTAGTAGTTGTGACACACTTCTCACAACTCACATACTGCAATGAAATTATAGATTTTTCAAGCAGGTCAATCAGGAATAACCTTGGTGACTGCTCATTTTGCACAGTCAGTTTTGCAATCAAAACGAGAACCCAAACCTTCGCTAATGTGGTAAGCTGATTAAAAAAAATGCAACCGATATAGGTACACCTTACTGGTGTGAGTGTTGTAAGATTAGAAAGCAGATTGGTGGTTTTGAGACTGGCAAAAGACAAAATGCATTCAGCACAAATTATGCCTGGTTCTTGCAATATTAATTGTGCCAGAATTCCACTACTCTAAAATAAAACTTCCAGAGATGGGCATTTCCTCAGTACTGACAGAAGGTCCATCAGTCCATCAATGACCCAAGATCTAAATCAAATCAAGTGCACTAGCAGACTGACTAGGGCACACTAGCAGAATAATTGTCTCTCTCGAGATGTTTTAGCCACAACTGCCTTCCACAGCTGCTGCACTTAGTATAAGAACTATATGTAACTAGAAAGGCAAGCCTGTCCAATAGTTGGCATCTGTGTGCTACTAATGACATTATAATGACATTATATAGTTAACATCTAGCACAGGGATGCCCAAGTCCTGTCCTCGAGATCCTCAATCCAGTCTGGGCGTGGACCTTACATGTTTCCCTCCTCCAGCACAATAGATTCAAATGATCAGGATTGTTATCAGGCTTCTACAAAGCTAGCTTACTGATGAGCTGATCATTTTAATCAGGTGTGTTGGGTGAGGGAGACATCTAAGACAGGCTAGATAGGGGCTCTTGAGTAACGGGTTTAGCACACGTAAATGTCAAATTGTGCACAGGTTTGACTCACTAGCAAGATGTACAAGTGCACAGAAATATCATTGAGTGGAAGGAATGGAAAAACTTCACTACAAGCTGATTTTGACAAAGCAAACGGTATCAAGTACTAATATCTGAAATGTTGGAAGTAAAAAGTAAACATAAAAGTTGAGTAGCTGAAAAATCTACTTGCACTGTAATTAAGTATTAGTACTTTATTCCTCCCTTCCACAGAATTATTTGTTTATTTTGTCCTGAATCCAAACAGTTTAAACTACATCCATCCATTATCCAAGCCACTTATCCTTACAAGGGTCGTGCTAGGTTGAACAGTCAAGAATGCTTTCCAGGAAACACATTTCATGATTTGCCACATTCCAGAATTAACATAACCTACTTGTCAACGCATGGGTCACACGTCACAGCTGATGAAACTGGGTGTGACGTATGAACAAACCCGCCCAAATCCTGACAAATGCTCTCTCATTGGCTGCTACTTCTGGTATCCCTAATTTGATTGGTCACCTTGGTCTAGGGGTAACGATTGCGGAGTCCTTGTCTGATGGTCTGTATGAGCGGCAAGCCACGTTGACACAGCAAGTCCTTGTTCCATTTTTTTCCCCGACGCCCCACGGTACGTGTCACAGCTGTCATCTGTCAGTCACAGGCGATAGGTTGTTTATCCAACCAAAGGTAGTCATCCCTGCTTAAGGAAGTATCGTCGTGTTTTCCTATTAATACTAAGTATCTACGAATGCTTGCTAACAGTGTAGCTATCTAGTAAAGTACAAGCTGCCATCCGGTTAGCATGGCGTACGTTCCATCAGCATCTTGTGAATCAGCATCAATTTTGGTAGCACCGGAAGATCAGTGAACTTGCGATGTATGATGTATTTCAATGTGTGTACTTAACAGAAATAATTGTTACTCCTTAATGTCGACGGTCTGTGGGCTCAGAAAGTTTTCCAACTGGGGGACTTTTTAAGCTATTTTGGCAAGCCGTTTCCGCTAAAATAAGGCTTTACAATAAGTTTGTATTTTGTATTTGTTGCATTTCATTGTAATGACATTGGGGTCCTTTTTTGAATTACGTAATAAAACAAATATTCTGTTCCGCAGAGCACAGAGGCCACATCATCTGTCAGAATGAGTGTTGGATTCATTGGAGCAGGCCAGCTGGCTCATGCACTGGTCAAAGGTTTTACGGCTGCAGGTGAAGCCAATTTACATTTTCCAGAAAGTTTATTCTTGGTACAATGGGTGACTAGTTAGCACATCCGCCTCACAGTGCACAGGTTATGGGTTAAAATCCGGGCTCCAGATTTGCTGTGTGGTGTTTGCATGTTCTTCCTGTAACTGGCTGGGTTTTCTCCGGGTACTCCAGTTCCCACCCACATTCCAAAAACATGCATGGTAGGTTAATTGATCACTCTAAATTGTCATTAGGTGTGACTGTGAGTGCGGGTAGTTGTTTGTCTATGTATACCCAGCCATTGTACCCTGTCTACTGACCACAGGGATAGACTCCAGCACGCCCACAACTTTGGTGAGGATAAAGCAGTTCAGAAAATGGGTGGGTGGATGGATGAAGTTTATCCTCATAATTGCATTTCAGTGCAATGCAAGAACAAATT